TCTCTCTCTCTCTCTCTCTCTCTCTCTCTCTCTCTCTCTCTCTCTCTCTCTCACACACACACACACACACACACACACACACACACACACACGGATTGCTTTGCATCCGTTCACAGAACAGGCTGGCTGCTTCCACGGGGCACAAAGATGGCAGAAATAAAAAAGCTACCTCTGCTTTAGCAACAGCCTCACCCACCTTCTCACTTTCCCGCTGAGTCAGTGCTGGGTCCAGCCATGGAGGGCTCCTTCTCTCGCCCTCAGCTGGATCCCACCAGCCTGAGCTGCACTCTTCTCACACCACAAACCTCCACACCTCTCCAGATAGAAACATTTTTCGTTGTGTGTGTAAGAGTGTGCATACCGTGGTGTGAGTGTGGAGGTCAGAGGTCAACCTCAGGAGACATGTGGAGGTCAGAGGTCAACCTCAGGAGACGCTCCTCTGGAACTATCAGAAAAGCTTCTTCCCTTCCACCACAAGATCTTGGGGATTGAACTCAGGATGTCAGGCTTGGCAGCAAGCTCTTTACCTGGCAAGCCATCTTGAGAGCCCCCAAATAGAAGCAAAGAATACAAAGACCCTGGTGTGGGGTGTTCCGAACGTCTTCAGCGAGCTTCATTTCCTCGTCTGTTTGTCTCTCCCTTCTCTTGTGTGTGGGAGATTTTTTTAAAGATTTATTTTTATTTTTGTTTATATATGTGAGCATGTGCACATAAGCGCAGTGCCCTCAGAGGCCAGAAGAGGGCGTCAGGTCCCCTGGAGTCACAGTCAGTGGAGGTTGTGAATCACCTGACAGGACTGCTGGGAAGTGAGTGCTGGTCCTCTGTGAGAGCAGTGTTTGCTCTTAAATACAGAGATGTGTGTGTGTGTGTGTGTGTGTGTGTGTGTGTGTTGGATGAGGTTAGAGAACATTTTGTGGAATTGAAGGCTGGGGTGGGCCTATTAAATGTTAGTCACAGATCCACCATGTGGGTGCCAGGGGTTGAACTCAAGTTGTCAGGCTTCCAGGCAGGCACCTTTACCCACGGAGGCATCTTGCTGGCCTCA